TAGCGATGTGGTCGCTTAACAGAGGGGCAAGCGTTGGTTCTGCGGTGGCCGCAGAAAGCTGATGCTGCTGCCCTGCCTGAAGCTGCAGGACGGGCCGGGCGCTCGGTCACGTGCGAAGCTGTCGCCTCTCCGAACGCGACGTCCCTGCCTCTTGGTAGGGATCAAAATCCCAGTGGTGCGCCATTTGTCAGACCTCTTAATCTAAGAGGTAGTTCAGCCTTTAGAGAGGATTGTGGAGGCCACCACGTTGGTCCTGCTTTGGGTGCCGCTCTCTGGAGCGGTTTCGGTTGTCCAGGTGGCCGGTTGGCCGAGAGCCACAGGCTGGGGACCCTCGCGTGGAGCATTGGCGTTATCTGCAACGTGCTCTGGAAAGCAACCAAAACGTGAGGGACCACAGAGAGTCCTGCTGAGTTTAAATCCTGGATCCTCTTATTTCAGGGAGAGCTGAAGAGGAGCGCCGTGGCCAGGTGGGTGAGCAGAGGCTGCCTGGCAGCTCGCTGGCAGCATGGGACCGTGCTGGTTTCTGGGCTGAGTAGTATAGGAGATCCAGCCCAGGAGATGCTGTGTTTATCGTAGTTAAATCTGAAGGTCGGGGAGGCTGTGGAGCCGTTTCGGCAGGGTGGAGGAGCGAGTGTTGGCCTCCGTGTCCGGGCTCCTCTGGCAGCCTGTTCCCCACCCCCTTTTTGGAGAGAACCGAACTGTGCGACTGCTTCCCAATTTGTACATACTTCATGTTTAATCATCCCTAGTAGGAGCCTAACAGTTTGAGACTGTTTTAATTTTGCCTCCAAAAGGAAAAAACCATATCTCTTTATATTAGATGCTCTGCCTTAAGCGTTTTCCCTGTGTAACCCCCGTTTACCGAGCGCCCTCAATATTGTACGGTTGGCTAAAGAACTAAAGTACGTATTAGGTGAATGATCACTTGTATGTTTAATCTAATTTTGTCCTGGACAAATCTTCTCTTTTAGCATAAGAGGGTGAAATAACGGCTACGCTGATTACTCTAATAGCGATGTCGGTGTTCCTGGAGGCACGTAATGGGGAGATGGGGGAGCGTAATGCCTTGCCAGAGCGCGCTGCTACCGCTCTGGGAAAGGTTTGCTGCTCTTCTGTCAAACCTGAGGTCTTGGTAATTGCCAGGTTATTGTCAGAGTACGTTGTCTCCTTTTCTACGAAAGGTAGGTCAGCGTGGTGTGGTAGAAACACGCTCACCTGGTCTTGTTTACCGTCGCCCATACGCAGCTTGACAGCCAGGTTAACTCCAGCTGTCAGGCGCTGACTTGGGTATTACAGATTTGTTTACTGTTACAGGCTTTTACGTGTGTCTGTTTTCCGTGGGTCTTTCTGTGCTTTGGCATGCTCGGTGGGACCGAATTTCTCCTTCGGGATGCTTACCCCAGAGTCTGTGTGTGTTGCTGTGAAACCAAATCTGTGAATGACTTTGGGCCCAACGTCGGAACGCTCTGTCTGACCCGCGTGTGCCGAGATACTTCTGCTAAAACGAGGGGGGAAAGAAAGAAGTAAACGCTTGTCGGCCTCAATCAAGCTGTGCAATAAAGACTACCAGAGAGCTGCGTTTTTGTGATACTGAAGATGCGTGGCTCTTGTGTCCTTCCAAGTCCAGGCCTTGGTCCAAGCTTAGGAGAACTTGTGCTGGATTGCTGCACAAGAATCTTCATCCAAATCGAGTCTTGTCCACCGTTTTCCCCCTTTTTCCCCTCGCTGTGCGGTTTGTTAGGTGTGTGGCTATGAGTAACATGCTCTCCAAAGTACATCCCTCTGGTTAGTCTTGTCAGCTGGAGCTTGTCTTGTAAATCTGCCTGTGTACTTTACCCAGCAGCAGCAATTAGGGGCCACTTCATAACGCTTGCATCGCTTTGGTGTAGAGTGCATTAGGCTTTTTTATTTTTATTTTTGGACCCCTCCAGGCAGATGTAGGTCTTGCTTATGTCCCTGTGTTGTTCAGTTGCGTGTCTGGTGCTGACAGTAAAGAATACCCGTGACGTCTCAAACACAGCCCAAGTAAGTCTTCGTTTCCGCTGCTCGTGCGTCCGCCTGCGTGTGTGTGTTGTTGCTCCCATCGCAGTTCAGGGATGAATGCCTGGGTGGCCAGGACTGTTGTTAAAGATTCTTTGTTCTCCCTTTGTTTGTTTGGCTTTTTGTTTTGTTTTTTTGGTGAAGTTTGTTCTGTCTCTCTGTGTTCGTGGTCTTTCCCCTATTAAATACTAGTAGAATCAGTACGTTATTTTCCCCTGGTTCTGCATCCTGCGGATAGCTCTTCTCTACCGGTCTGCCACCACTTGTCACCTTCACGCGCGTTCGTTCGAGTGGTTGGCTTATTGTTACTTACTTCACCCGTTTTGTACCTCATGCTGCTTCTCCTTCCGAAATCTGCTTGCTGTTTTGCCTTTCTCTAATTCAGGTTGACATTGTTTAACTTGTCGGCCTTGACAAGGGATTTGAGTGCATAAGGCAGGAGACAAACAGCAACTCTCCCTTCAGAAGCGTGTGTGTATCCCTCCCTCGCTCGTGCAGCGCGAGGGGCCAGGCTCTCCCGTTCCTCTCCCCGGCTCCCTCACGGGCAGAACAAAGTCTGAAGGTGTCTCTGATTTCTTCTGTTCATTAAAAATATTTGGAAATTTTCTTCTTTGGAAGTAGCCGACCCAGATGAGTAGTTGGCACGTGGAAAGTTTGTTATGCTTCCATATTCAGTATTTTTAATTGAGAAACAGATTATTTATTTTGGGAAAAAAAATGTAGATTTTTTTTTGTATTTGTAAGTCAAAGTGGCCTTTATAGAAAAAGCACATAAAATATTTAGATTAAAATTACTTAGTTCTGTAATTTTAGTGGGGATTTTTGTATTGACAGGGTTTTTATGCATTTTTCAGAATATACTTACTGCTTTGTGTTACAAATTATCGGTAATATTTTTAAATTGTATATTACTCCATTTTCCATGGTTGATCCCTTTACTATCATTCCTTTTGAATGCCACACAAATTTTAATTAACCCTGTGAATTAATTTTCCCCCACAAATATATGCATAAAGCCAAGGTAGTGAGTTATAGCGTGGGTATGTAGCTCTAAGGGAGTACTTGTAGTAGCGTAGTTTAATTATGGAGAGATTTTTTTGAGAAGGGCAGTATGCAGTTAAGTGTTGCACTTAAAAGACTAAATTAGCAAATTAAGGTTTTGCTGTACCTCACTAGGGTGTTTTTAAACTTATTTTTTCCATCCTGTAATGTTTACACTCAAGCATTATCTAAATATGTACTATTTGTGCAATTTCTCCTTCACTTTATCAGGATAGTGCTAATGTTAGTAGATATGGAAAAATTCCAGAAAACGTCGAGTATCGTAATGGATATAACATGAGTTTGGGGGAGGGAGGGGAGGGACGTTGGAACGGTTGGTATGTTCTTCCGTTTAGTGACGTACACGCTATCGCGCTAGCTCAAACTGAAGCAGTTGAACTTACAGCTGATTTGTAAGCCACCTCGGTGGTTTGAGAAGGGGGGAAAGACAAAGGTGGAGTTTGTAGAAGTGCAGGCGAAAAGTACGCTCCCAGTTGCGCTTCAGCGCGTGCGTGCGGTTGCCTTGGCTGCCTGCGCGAAGCAGAAGCCGAGTTTGATCACTGAGACCCTGCTGTTACCGCTCTGATGTTACTTTGTCTTCTCGAGGTGTTGTGGTAAGTCTTGCTAAGTAGGAACTTCCCCAGGAATGTTTGTCAACTGCCACTTCAGTTTCATCATCTTATGTATGGATTTTAGTTTTGTTTGCAATTTCTGTTTAGTAAGAGATCCCACATCATTCATAGGTTAGCATAAGTGCAAGCTTTTAAGCGTAGTAACAGATTAACATTGCCTGCTACCCTGTATTCTCACGACT